GGTCTGGTTTTGTTTGTCTATCTTAGTCTTAGAATATGTCACTTGTTCATTTTTCTTCCATGTTAGATGCACAATCCAATTGCAAAAATGATGTGCAGCGTTTAATTTCCTTTTAAGGTATCACTGATACTGGTTGCGTTCATCTAATAATGCTATTTTGATGTGCTTTTCAAGAATCTCTTCTGATAACCAGTTGCTTCTTCATTTTACTGTTGAAGGATTGGAGCCCTGTCCTTCCCTTTATTAAGGATACTGTCACAAATCTCTGGGCAGAAAGTAACTCTGGTGAGAGCAATTGCACTATCGACATTCTTATGCAACGCCACTTAGGATTCATTATACTTGATGTATTCTGTACATTTTGGTTTGACCACCCCACACACATTCCCTTCCCTGTAGCTTCCACCTACCTCCAAATTGGGGGGGGGGGGGGAGACAGAGTTACTTATGCATCAGATGGTGCAAAGTATTTCATTGTTATGGTATCGTCTAGATTTGTCACTTTCTTTTCTCTTAATTAGCTTTAGAAAACCTAGATAAGAAGTATCCTCCTCATCTCTTGCTATCCCACTCCCTGCTTCTCTTCTCAGATATGTCTGTGAATCATGAGATCAGGAAAAAGAGGTGCAGGGCCCGGAGTTGCAATCCTACGCTTGAGCTTCCTTCCCCGCAGCCAAAGAAACTAACTGAAGAGTACTCTGTCAGGAGAGAGATTCAATCTTCGCAGAATATTCTGTGGGGAAGTGCTTCTGAAAAGCATGATCCTGAGTCCAGATTTCTCTGTCAGACTGAAAGTTCAAATCGGTCAGTTGATGGATCTACTGGTCATTGCACAATGGGTGTGAACTGGAAATCCAGAAGCTCTCCGCAGCCTTTTTCATCTAATGTTTTCTCTATAGGAGATGATTTCCCGGAGAACAAATTCAATTCTCCAGCTAGCTCCAGTCATAAATCAGACTGCCAGTTAGGTTCAGGATGGAAGGATGAGTGCCTAACAATTGTAGCTGGCTCATCAGAGGAAGCCTCGTTTATGGAGTCTCTTGAGCTTGATTATAGTTCAAATGTGACACATGACAGGAGGAAACCATTTATGCAAAGTTGTTCTTCGCGTAGAAGCCAGATACATGATGGAGCATCTTTTGATAGTGATGAAGATATTAAATTTAAAATAAGTGATTACGGAATTAAACGAGATATCCTTGAAGATGATTACAGTGTTAAATTTGAAGTAGTTGATGTTGTTAACCAGGTCCTAGATCAAAGGTTTCCTAGGGGCAAGGAGCTATTTTTTGAAAATTTCTCCGGGTGCAGAACTCAAAGCAAGGACATCCTAGATGAAGACAATCATCTTCTTGACTTTGTTAAACAGACTGAAAATTGTGATTCTAGTCAGCTGCCTTTTAGTTCAGATCCATGTCCGCTGCTACCAGTTCCTTTGCTCGGTACCCGTTTTCAAGATGTTGATCCTTATATTGCTGAAAATGGGATTGAAACCTCCGTTAAAGATGAAATTGGTGTCACGTATAATTTTGGAAAACATAATCTCCTGGGTCCTGCCCTACACAATTTGGGAAAAGAGGATTGCTTGTTCCGAAGTTCTGCAAAGTTCGATCTCAATTTTAATGCTTGTTCTGTGGAGGATATGGGCAGAATAGGGGTTCATGATCCGCAGGACATTTACAGTTCAGGTCCTTCTGAATTCTATTATGATGGAGGTGATTTGTCACGTGTACATTCTCATGGTGAAGAAAATCTTAATAATTATTTGATACCACGAGCTATGCTCTCCTCTAGGGTGGATGGAGACTCGCATAAATGGATTGATACAGGAAATCAAGGTATAACAGATAAGCTAAGAAGGCACAGTGGAAGAAGTCATTCAGCTCCTCCATTTTACCAAGGCAAGAAGAAGTTCTTTTCCATGAGTGAGTCTTTAAGAAAAGCAGCAGGAAATAACAACCTTAAAACTGTTCATGATGTACCACTCATGCCAGGTATTTTGTCCTTGAGTGCTTGTTTGTGCTAATAATGAATGATGATGTGCATAACTAATTAATGCTCTTTTGTACCATGCAGAAACTAGTGCTGCAAGGAGACTGCAACATTCTGCAGAAGCTGTTAACTTGGAGCTTCCACAGCAGTCATCCCGTCAATGTGATCAATCTTCCATCCCAAGTTGTGGTGATGGTATATTCTCTAATGTCAGGTACTGTTATCAATTTTTTTTGTGTGGGTGGGGGG